GACATACCTGCTCGCCCTCTGAGCTGCTGTCGTCGAGTTGATTCTGAATAGTGGTGGTCCCGTGGTGACAGGGCACAGATGCTTCACGGAGGTCTCAGTGTCCCGGCCTGTCCCGTGAGGCCTCCCTGGGTGGACTTGAACTGCCGACCTTTTGCCTGGCAGGCCAGTGTCTAACCCTCTGTGTCTCCCGGGACTCCCTGCTGTCCGGTCAGTTCCCCAGGCGGGAAGTCACCAGGGAAGGGGGCTGCCCATCTTTTTCCTCCTGAGCTGTGGGTGGATTTGAACCACCGGAGAGGTACAGATTCCAACCCAGAATGCCCAGATCTCTATGGGGTTGTCCAGTCACCAGGAAGGGGTACCCACTCATGCTCCTCTCGAGACAGATGGGGGGTCCTTTGTCCCTTCTGTTCTCAACAAGGACCAACATTTTAAAAAAAGCTCTTTGTCAATTTGTTAATGAAAAATGATATTCTTTGCTCTTTTAATTTTCATTTAGCTATGAAAAGGCTTCCTTTAAATTACCCATAGATGGTTTGAGGTCATGGACAATTAAATGTAATTAATTTATAATTGAACTTCAGGGAAGTTCGATGGGAGAGTTTACGACAGTGGCCAGTAGAGGGCTCTTCAGCCCCGTTAAATGTGGGATGTGCAGGTTTGTGTCAACTGGGGAACAAAGACCTGTCCACCAAGGAGCGAGCATTGTTTCAAATTTTGGGAAGAGCTCTGTCAGACAACTGCAGCCTGGAGCCAGGGCCCTCCGTCCTCACAGAAACACTGTCAGACTCTCACCCTGAATAGATTCCCAGGGATCCCTGGGGATGCAGTTAATGTAATCGGCTGGTAACCTAAAGGCTAGTGGTTCTAGTCTACCCAGAGGTACCACAGAACCATGACCTGACAACCTCCATCTGAAATCACCCCCTAGAACCCTTCAGAGCATGGCTGCACCTCAAATACGGGGCTGACCCCACGGCTACTGGTGGGGTTTCCTGGTTAGGTTAGACATGAAGATGAAGAGACTTCATCACACACACTCTGGGTGTGTTGTCAGGAGGGTCAGTCCCACGTGAAGGACATCGGGGTTGGAAAAGCAGAAGGTCAGGGAGAGAGAGGAAGACCTTCAACAGGATGGGCTGATGTGGTGGCTGACCCAGCAAGGTGGACAGGCTGGTGGACAGGCTAAGGGGAGTGTCTGTGCTGTTGTACAAGGCCGCAGTGAATGGGACGTCACTTGGCCGCATCTAACAACAGGATGTGAAGACTTAACAGCCAGCAGTGTCTGTGTGTGGTCCCTGTATTACTGATATGCTTGACCTTGGGGTTTGGACCTGAAAAGCCAGTGCTGTGCCTGCGTGAGGCTCCCTGCGCTCAGGGCCACCTCTCACCACCACTTCTTCCCCTCCCCTCCCTCCCCTCCCTCCTCTCTTCCCTCCGTCTGTCCTTGCTGCCATGGTCCCAGGAGCGGTGGCCAGCCTTCCCTGGAAGTTAACTGTCTACACACCTTTGACCCTTTGCACTCTGACCCTGGTCCTAGGCCCCAGTCTCCTGTCCCCCTGGTGGTGGCTCAAGCAGCTCTTCCTCCAGTTAATGAAAAGCAAACACCTCTCTGCAGGCCGCCAGCGCCCGCACTAGCCCTGTGGGACCCATGGTCTCCTCACTGAGAGCAGACTCTACTTGAATGGCTCCCAGGTTGAGGGGCTGGGGCAGCCGTTTAAGGGGGGGGTGCACGGAGAAGGTGAGGGTTAGTGGGAGGTGCGCGGGGGGTGCAGAGGGGTAAGGGTTACTGGGGGGTGTGGAGTGTTCACGGAGAAGGTGAGGGTTAGTGGGGGGGGGGGGTGTGGGCCAGGCCAGCTGAGCTGATGGGCTACTTTATAGATTGATACTCTCACACCCAGTATTTAGTCGTCCACACCCTGTCAGTTTGCAGTGAGTCTCGTGAACACAAGCTTACAGGTCGTCACAACAAGGTCTCTTAGCAGCAGGACATGAACTTCCCAAAAGCCATGCTACTCTGTGGACTCATGCCAGGAACCAATGAGCAGTGTGGTGGCAAGATCGGAAACACTGATTTATCTCTGCTCCAATCACCAAAACCTACATCCACCAGGTCAACTGGAGCACGTCTCAGTGTCACCCTGTAGGTCAGGAAGAACCACCCCTGGGGTCTCCAAGCTGTCCATCTTAAAGGGAGAGTGCCCCATCCTTCTCCCCAGAAACAGCTGGTAGATTAAAATCCGAGCCTCTCAGTCAGCAGCCATGGATGGTAACCCTTATGTCACCCAGAGTGTAAGGACCTAGGTAGGATCTCTCTCTCTCTCTCTCTCTCTCTCTCTCTCTCTCTCTCTCTCTCTCTCTCTCGCTGTGTACCCTCAAATCAGATCCGACTGGCACAGGAAGAGATTGCCCCTTGTTCTCCAGAGGAGCATCTGGGGGAAGGATCTCTTTAAAATGCAGAAATGCAGGGATGTAAATTAAGGACAAAGGTGAATCTGATCCAAGCCAGGGTATTTTCAATTGCTTCCCAAGTATCTGAAAGTTGGACAATGAATAAAGAGGACTGAAGAAGAACTGATGACTTTGAATTATGAGGTTGGCAAAGTGCACTGACTGTCGAAAGAAAAGCAAGTCTGTTTTAGAGAAAAGTATAATCAGGTGTTCCTTAGAGGTAAGAACAGTAAACTTCTCTCTGACACACTTTGGGCATATTGCAAGGAGGGACCAGTCCTTGGAGAGGGATGTCATGCTTGGGAGGGTGGAGAGACAGCCCAGGAGAGGGAGACCCTCGATGAGATGGATTGATTCAGTGACTGGGGTAATGGGGGTAGGTGTGTCAGAGACAGTCAGATTGGCTCAGGATAGAACAGGATTTAGGGTTGTTGTACATAGGGTCGCTGTGAGTCGCAGGCAACTTGATGGCACATAACAACAACAATAATATCACTTTGGGCATGTTGTCAGGAGAAGTCAATTTTTGGAAAAAGACATCCTGCTGGGATGTAGAGGCAGAACAATCCAGAAACCACAGCTGTTAAGTCGTTCTGACCCTTAGTGACACCTCCCCCCCCCCCCCCCCAGTGATTCCCAGGCTGTAGAACTTTCCGGGAGGAGACACTCATCTTTCTCCCAAGAGAGGCTGGGGGATTCAAACCACAAACCTTTCAGTTAGCAGAGCGGCATATATTGCACTATCCCATGAGGGCTTCTTCTTACGGCACCAGGGACCCACCATTTAAAGAAAACAAAAAATGGGCACTGTATTGTGGTGTTTATAACACTGTGAATTTCGTTCCAAGAAGGTGAGTATGTACGGATGTGATCTGGGAGTGAAAGGGACAGCAGACAGCCTACGGATTTCACCCTCACAAGGCTCCACGCTTCATATCCAATGGCCTCGCAGGAATGAAGGCTCAAACTCAAGATGCCCATTGAATCTGCAGAGCAACCACTGAGAGAGGAAAAGAGGCATTTCCAAAGAAAGAACAGAACAACGTACATGGAACACTGAAGAAGAAAAAAAGAAAAAAACAACCACGGAGTTAGTCTCTAAAAACAGGTGGGAAAGGAGACATGGAGAACACAAAAGAAACTGGATAACTGGAGAACAAGGAGTAGCTTCTTAAAGTAAGTCCTTACCCACCCACTGCCATGGGGAAGCTTCTAACTCACAGTCACCTTGGAGGACAGAGCGAAACGGCCCCAGAGGGTTTCCCAGGCATCGCCCATAGTACATGGCACGTCTGACCAAAGCCAACAAAAGCAGTCATGAGCTCGGAGAGACCAGCAAGCATTCAAGAGGACACTTCTGCAGAAAGAGGATGAGCTGGGTGGGGAGGGAGGTTTATGCAAAAGAAGAAGCTGTTTCTCATTGCTAGATGCTCCGTCAGACACAATAGTTCATTTACAGGATGTGCTTCCATCTGTATGCCGAGCAGATCATCTGAGAAGCTGGACTACATGAAGAACCAAGTGGCATCAGGACTGCAAGGAGACTCCTTATCAACCTGTGTCATTTAGATCACACAGCCTTGTTTGCAGAGAGTGATGAAGACTTGAAGCACTGAAGATCAAAGACGGTAGACATCAGTATGAACAACTCCTCGCCATCCAGAGGAGAAAATTCCTTACAACTGGAACAAGAAGCAACACCATGACAGAGGGAGATAAGACTGATGCTTTCAAGGGTTTAGTGTGACGTGAATTCACAACAAATGTCCACGGAAGCCGCAGTCAGGAAATCGAAGGACCGAAACAGGCAAGTTGCCTGAAGACCTCGTAACGGTGTTCAAAAGCAGAGAGCCACGTGGAGAGCTGAGGAGCACCTGACGGTCACATTTTCAACTGCATCCTACGCATGTGAATGCTGATCACTGGGGAGGGAAGACTGAAAAATCGGGTCCTTGGAATTACGGTGCTGGTGCGTGATCTTAAATACACCACAATCTGCCAGAAGAATGAACAAACCTATCTTGAAAGAAATGCAGCCAGAATTCTCCTTAGAACCTGAAGGATGGTGAGCCTTCACCTCATAAGCATTGGACACATGACCAGGAGGGGCCAGTGCCTGGGGAAAGACACTGGATTTGGTGAGGTGTAGGAGGGTTAGTGGGAGAGAAGGCCCTCAGTGAGATGGACTGACACAGAGTGCCAATGAGATGGGCTGCTGCACAGACCTTCCATGGGGCAGACTGACACACGAAGGACGGTGCAGGACAGTGCAGGACGGGGCAGAATGGGGCGGATGGAGCAGGATGGGGCAGGATGGTGCAGGACAGGGCAGGACGGGGCAGGTGGGGCAGGTGGGGCAGGATGAGTCTGTGTTCTGTTCTATTATACACGATAGGGTCATGATGAGTCGGAAGGCAATTGGTGGTATCTGACAGCAACAGGATGATGTGGTGGGGACGTCTAGGGGGCCGCACTTGCTGGCCTTAGTTTGGAAGCGCAGGATGTGAGTGTGGCCTACAGGGAAAGGAGGCAGGAGCCAGGATGCAGCATACCTTGAAGACGATGTGCACCATCATCTGGAGGCCATTCCGGCCCGGATACTTGCTGGCGATGTTGGATGCTGACAGGTTGAAGAGGTTGGCCCCTGTCTCTGTGCAGATGGCATGGACCAGCATTTTCTTCCCAACCCCTGAGGGCCCAGCCAGCAGCAGGGATTTCACCAGAGGGGCTTTCTCGTGCACCGTCGCGGATCCTGAAAGATCGAAGGGGAGGCCTCCAACTCCTGCCCAGGAACCCGAGTCCTTCTGAGACAGGCTTCCTCATGGCCACGTCTTCAGTGCTGAGCGATGCCTTTAACCTCCTGTCCCCTCCTCACCCCTCTCCAACTATTCAGGGGGAGAGAAGAGAGTGGGCACTGGCTGGGCACAGTACAAGCAGACCTTGGAGACACTGTGGGTACATGTCCAGACCATGACAGTTAAGCAAATAAAAAAAAACAGAGAGTCACCTGGATGTTTGGATTTCCCACTAGGGCACCTAACAGTTCTGTTGACGCTGGCCTACACCCTCTTAGGTGTGCAATGCCATAAGGAAAGGGTTTCAAGGATTGTGAGAATTACCAACATGTGACACAGACACGGAGTGAACAACTGCTGTGGAAACAGTGCCTGTAGACTCACTGCAGTTCCTAAAAGCACAGCAGCTTCAAAGAGCAAGAAACTGAACTGTATGCATCTGCCCAAAGCCAGGACTCGCGTGGAAGCGGGGTACCCCAGTACAGGAGGCGCATGTGGACAGGCAGGTGTGTTACCTACTGCCCAAAGCCTGGACTCGCGTGGAAGCCAGGCGCCCCTATTGCAGGAGATGCATGTGGACAGGTGGGCCTGCTACCTATTGCCCACAGCCAGGACTCGCGTGGAAGCTGGACATCCCCAATACAGGAGGTGCACCTGGACAGGTGGGCCCCAAGCAGGAGGCTCACGTGGACAGGGAGGCCCATTACCTAGTGGCAGGACTCCGTAGAGGGCGATGAGCTGTCTGACATCCATAAGTGACGGCATGGGCTCTATGCCCAGCTGGCGCAGCGTGGTCCCCAGGTAGCTGTACTCACCTGGGGAGGACAAGTATCACAATGCAGATGAGGGGATGGGACTGTGGGTTCTTCCACATGGCATGATATTGACACAGAAAATCAACCCAGAGCAAACTTTAGCAAAGACACTCCATGTGGTGTCCAAGGCTTATCGTTCAGAATGTCTTTCCTCACCATGAATTAACTGTTCCTTTTGTGTTGAAGTATTTATTGTTTTGAGGAGATAGGGAGCGTTGGTGGCCTAGTGGTAAGAATCTGTGCTACAATCCCAAAGGCTCGCAGTTCGAACCCACCAGTTGATCATCTGCGGGGGAAAGATGGGAGGAGGCAATCTCCTCCCATCCAATTTGCTGCCTTTGAAAACCCTCTGGTGTAAAAAAGAAAAAGAAAAAGAAAACCCTCTGGTGGGTCAGCTATGGGTTGGTCCCAAAGATAAACAACAACAATAAGAAGGAGACAGGATTAGGGTGGGATACAAGCCCCCTTACGAGAGGCTTAAAACAGTGCATGAGAGGGAGGACAGAGCTCTTTTTGGCATGCCTGCTTTCCGGCTGCTCCACAATTCACAGTCTACAACGTTCACCAGGCTCTGCAAAAACCGGCCTGCAGACCTAGGCACGTGAGTCACTCCTGTCGGGGCTGAGTCTTGGGGAGACTTTCCAGTGAAGCCCAAACCCGAGGAGTGGGGGAACTGAAGGAAGCAGGGAGTGCTATGTCAGAACTCAAGGAGTTACACAATAGATCAAACACTTGGGGGCGAAGTTGGCTCTGCATTTCCTGTAACCGGTCTGCTACTAATCTTAGCAGAACGAATAATGAATGCGCACCGCATTGCCGCATATGTAACACAGGAAATTAGGGCATAAGGGGCCTTTCTGCTGGCAAATGGTATAAAGCTCATGTTGTTGTTGTTGTTGTTATGTGCCATCGAGTTGCTTGCGACTCATAGCAACCCTATGTACAACATCCCTAAACTCTGCTCTGCTCTGTGCCAATGGCACCATCTCTGACACACCCATCCCAATTACCGCAGTCACTGAATCGATCCACCTCATAGAGGGCCTTCCCCTCCTGCGCTGTCCCTCCACCCTACCAAGCATGATGTCCCTCTCCAAGGACCTGTCCTTCCTTACAACATGCCCAAAGTATGTCAGACGAAGCCCCAGAATCCTTGCCTCCAAGGAGCAGCCCAGTTTAACCCTTTCCAGGATGAATCTCTTTGTTTTCCTAGCAGCCCATGGTACTGTCAATACTCTTCTCCAGCACCACAGTTCAAAGGCATCAATTCTCCTTCCATCCTCCCTAGTCATTTGTCCAACTCTCTGATGTGTAACAAGTGATTGCAAAGACCATGGCCTGCATCAGATGCACCTTAGTCTTCAGAGAGACACCATTGCTCTCCAGTACTTTGGAGAGGTCCCTAACAGCTGACTTTCCCATCGCAATACATCTTTTAATTTCCTGGCTACTGGTGCCAAGAGTGTTGACCGTGGAGCCAAGCAGACTAAAGTTGTTAACAATCTCAATCTCTTCACCGTCCATCCTGATGCTGCCAATTGGTCCAGTGGTGAGAATCTTTGTCTTCTTGACTTTGAGCCTCAACCCATATTGAAGGCTGCAGTCCTTGATCCTCTGCAGCAAGCATTTCAGGTGCTTCTCAGTTTCAGCAAGCAGGGTTGTGTTATCTGCATAACACAGACTGTTGATAGATCTTCCACCAATCCTGATCTCCTCATAGAGCCCAGCCTCTCAGATAATCTGTTCTGCATACAGGTTGAAAATGTACGGAGATAAGGACACATCCCTGGCGTACGCCATTCCCAATTTGAAACCATGCAGTTATCTGCATAAAAATATGGTGACTGTATTATGAGGAGTCCCTGAGTGGTGCCAACAGTTAGCTTGGGTGAAAATGGAAATAAAGTTGGAAGTTTGAGTAAAACCAGAGGTGACTCAGAAGAAAGGCCTGACAACCTACTTCCAAAAAAAAGCAGCCACTTCTCATAAGGCAAATAATGCATAAGACCATTGTTGTAAAAATAGAAGGACAACGAGTAAAATGTGTATGGGGGGCCATGGGGGAAGGGGTGGGAACAGAGGGGCGAGAACGAGCAGGGAGGAATCATGGGGTCACACAATTTGATGGGGGGAAGGAAGGGGTAAAGGAAATTGGAAAGATCTGGCAGGGTCCTGAAAATAGCACAATGGTGGGCATAGTTCAACGGTGATTAACTTCATAAAAGGCAATGTGAGGGAATGATTGAGTGGAACACAGTGTGAATGAACCAAAATGAGAAACACAATGTAAATAAATTTTGTATGCAAACAAATATAAACATTTAAAAACAAACCCAAAATTATATCCTTTTAATTTATAAATAGGAATAATTATTCTTATAGTAAATGTTTCATTTTGCAAAAAAAAAAAAAAAAAAAGAAAGGTGCTTCTAACATATTTCCTGCCATGAAACCTAGAATGTCAAATCCACCACTGAAATCCTCAAGGTGGATACGCAGTTCCACTCAGCATACACGTGGGTCATCACGTGTCAGAATCAGCACAATGACAACTGGCTTCACCGGTTTACAGGACCGTCATGCAAAAAAGGTCTCAGATGAAGGCATGAAGAAAGACAAAAAAATCCCTCTGAGCCAGCCTTGCTCTGTGGTCCTCACGAACCAGGGGCCTGTTGGCTAGTGCAGCGAGTGCCCTCATGGTTTACAGTATACTCCTTGAGTCCTGGGCTGTGGGAGCAAAGTTCCGAAATGAAAGCTACGCAGGGAAGAGTGAAGGAAAGAACCACAGCATTTGTCCACAGGTTAGGCTTAACACTCCGGGAAACCTAACGAGGAATTCTTTACGATTGACCTGGAGTCGGTCCTGCAGCGCTGTAAATCGGATCTAAGATGCAGTCCTTTGAAAGGAAGGGTCTGAGTCTTCTCGGGATAAACAGAAACATCTCCATCTGAGGGTAACATTCATTTACATTTTTATCATTTTTTTCTAATGATAACCAAAGGAAAAATACAGGAATAAATCTTTACAGGTTTAATTAGAAGGCATCAAAGGGCTTAATTGTAACTCGCCATAAATCTGGACTGTTATTTTCTAACTAATTTAGATAAGGTCACCAGGAAAATGAGTTTGGCGGACTCCATTTGTCACCAGGACGGGCGTCCGGAGTCCTTCCAGGCTCCCGTGGGCTCCTTGTGGTTTGTACCTGCACTGAATGAAATGTTCATTGAGTGGATCCCAGCGTCGCTGGTATTTTTCTGGCCCCTACGTCCTACAATAAGCACCTTGCGGAGTCTCTTAGGCCGTAAAGGTATGCTACACAGATGACACGCAGTATGTGCATGTGAGTACACGAACAGCAAAAACATCTAACGTGTTTAAGCCTTCTCACAGATCAGGATCAGGGTTCAAGGCTGGCCAGCAGCTGCTGGGCTATTGTGTGGAGAGCAGTCTTTCAAACCGTCCATCTGAGTGAGAGGGGAAGGGGCCCTGGCAAGGCCGGTGGGCGAGGGCAGGGAGAGGATGAGGATGTGTGCTTTGACCTCAGCTGGCCGCGCTGACGAGCAGGAAATCAATAGGGGAGGGGACCAGTTAGCTCCACAGAGAAGCCACAGAGGGGTCTGTGACAACCCGTAAATCTGGCCCTTAGTGCTAATAAACATCACACTGGAGGTGATGTGAAAGTGGCTCCATGCTCCGGACTGAATAAAGCCACATTGACTCGCAAATGCATTCTGTTTTCCAGAGCCCGCTGTCACTGTGACGTGCTGGCAAGTCATGCTGTGTCAACAGCAGCCCCGTGTACAGCAGACCGAGACACTGCTCGGTGGAGCCCCTGCCCATGATCATCCGAGCCACGTTGCAGCCACTGTGTCAGTCCTTGGTCGCTGACCGTCCGCTTCCCAGGCAGAGCGATGCTGTCCGGGGACTGGCCCCTCCTGGTATCAGGCTCAGAGGCCCAGCTGCATCTCCTGACTGCCCTGGGACACCCGGCTGAACTTCCTTCAAGACACACTCGCTCGCTGCCTGGCAGTGCATGGTGCAGTAACAGTCTTCGCCAACACCGTAATTCAAAGCATCCACTCCTCTTTGGTCTGGCTTGCCCATTGTTCAGGACTCTTCTGAATAGGAGGTGATTGAAAAGACCATGCTTGGGTCGGGTGCACTTCAGTCCTCAAAGGGACAGCTTTGCTTTTTAACACGTTATGGAGGTCTTTTGAAGCAGATTTGCCTAGTGCGGTACCACCTTTGATTTCCCGACTGCTGCTTCTGCGGATGGGAGCTGGGGAGCTGAGGAGAAGAGACCCTCGACAGCCCCTCTTTTCTCCATTTATCGGGATGCCGCTTAGCAAGACTTGTGTTTCTTCCTGTTGGGGTGTGGTCCACCCTGAAGACGACGGGCCCTGATGGTCAGTGGCCGCCTCAGGTCCTCTTCACCTTCGCCCAAGCAGGGGTGTGTCATCTGCTTTTGACAGACTGACTTCCTCCAATCGTGATCACATGCTCTTCATGTAGTCTCTGATGACCTGCGTGATACACAGACTGACTACCCCTGGTGAACGAATACCTGAGGCAAACACTTTCTGATTTCAAGCCACACAGTAACTTCGTGTTCTGTTCTTATGTCTGTCTCCTGATCTACGTATAGGTTTTACGTGAGCACAATTATGTTACCTAGAATTCCCAACCCTCACAATATTATTCACCACACAAGTAAGAGCCTTTGTGGAGTCTACACCCCACAGGAAAACACCTTTCTGCTATGCTCTACCTCAGCCATAACCCATCCGATGAGGTCCCACGTCCCCCTCTGAATGCAGTGTGAATTTCACTGTGAATCTTACAGTTTGCTGTAAATGAACTACTGCAGCTATTTTTTTTTTTAAATTATCTTCAGCAGAACTTGGCTTGCATGTGATACAGTTCATACTATTCAATTATTGTTTAATTCCATGGATCACCGTTCTAACAATGGGCACACATATGAATTCTTTCTGGTTGG